ATAGTGTAAATAATTCCGCTTAAGTGAAATATTTGCATGTTGTTTCATTCATATAACATGGAATATATGGTTTGTAACGCCTTATTGTTAAAACTGAAGATGGTAAATAATCAATCAGTATTTAACCATTTATCATGTGAGACAATATAACTTCTTATGGAGAACTTTGTACATGTTCAAAACAATTCTCGTCATAATGAAGTGATATCTAACTGGAGAATCAATAAAGTCTACTTTTTCTTTCAAATGTTATTGAAAGTATGACCTTTAGCTCTTACGGTGAGTATGATAATTTTAGATCACAAAGTTAGACCATCGTATTTCTCATATTTATCTCCAGTGAGTTTGTAATAGAACACTATCCTTATTCACTGTTATACATCAGTGATTATACTAGTAAATGTGAATCTAAAACTAGTCTGAAACTCTTCAGTGATTTTCTCTAGTTTTCTAGATGTATACCTAATAGTTTTTTTTAAAAAGTAACCTTTTCTTTAAAATAAAACTAGTCTTTTTAGGTCTTTCAGGTAAATACACACAACTGAAGCTAATTTTGATACAAACAATCCATGAAATATTAGAATTACTAACTTGATTCCTATCAACAGCTTAAGTGTATTGAAAATCTTCTTGACACAATTTGACTCTTTATACTTTAAAAAAATTCTTTTAGGCTGATGAATTTCCATGGCTATTAATTTCCAAATATTCAAACAATGTAAAAATAATATTCGCTCTCAGATTCCAAATATCTAAATTATTTTAAAAAAAAGTTACAATTAGCTTAAAACTTTAATCGAAGCAGATACACCCAACGTTATGTTTCATGATTAATTTTATTTATTACAATCTTGTACAAGCAGACTTATAAGGTGAAAACAGCTTAAATTTTTATTTTCATTTTCAGTTGACAATGGCTTAATGATTGTTAACTAAGGCATAAAGGAGAATTTGTCTAGAAAGCAATAAATGTATGTGCGTATGTATTGTTTTCTGTTACAATTACTAAGTGGTATTATGAATTATAATCAATAGTAAATCATTATTTAAGTAATTAAAATTCTGTCAGTTGATTCATCTTAATTGATTACATGCATATACACTTGATGTTTATCATTAGTTCACTTTGTCAGTGTAAAAACTTGCCACTTTGCTTCCAAGTTCATAGAGTTTTTCTTTTGGAGTACAGCGAATACAGTTAATTCTACTTTGTATAAATTAATACAAGGGGGGGGGCGAAATACGAAGGAATTAAGCAACACCTTAACAACACATTTAATGAGTTAAAAAAATGGATAGGAATGTTGTATCTTATCCGGTTCACTAAGGTATGCCTCTGTCTGTAATTTGTCTTTTTCATCCTATTTTCTCTTTCTGGAGTATGGTTATCACCAAGGTAATAATAACAATAACATTTTTAAGGAAATGGTGTTAGTTGTAGTTGTTTCAATTAGCATCTTTATCATTACTGTCATATGCATGGTAGATGAGTTTGAAAAGCCATTTATAAGTTGAAACTTCGTCATATGGGAGTTGTCAGTCGTAGTTCAGTCCGTAGGATCGGTCAAATCACTCTGAATTATACATTTGTTAGTGTGTCTGTAAAAATATCATTTCGATATTGTATACTAGTTTCTAATAGAGAGTAAAAGTAAAATGAATTGAAAATGAACCGTTAACTAGTAGTTAGTTGATAAATGGAGAAAAATACTCCTTGTTCAATTTTGCAATCAAAGTGGCTCGAAATAGTATGCTATTTCTCAAGCGAATAACTAATTCTGATTTCATTTCTTGAATATTTAGGAAATCTTTTGGAGCCTAATTATGTTTTATCAATGTTTGGTTTTCAACAGGCCAACCAGATTAACACATATTAGTTCCCTTTTTCGATTACTATTTTTAACATGACCTAATCATTCTATTATTTTATATACTAACTGATTGTGTTTCTTAATGTGTGTGAAATTACAGATTGTAAAACACAGTGTGAGCTTCCATAGTTTAGCCGTCTTAAGAGAGTTATGAATTCTAGATCCTTCTAAATTGTGTTATATTACTAAGTCTTCATCTGAAAAGTGTCTATTTATATCCCATTTCAATGTATATCAATAAAAATAACCGTTTTAGATATCAGTATAGGGTTGTGAAGACCGATGTCATGAATGGACTACCATTGAAAACTTGGAAGCACTAACTGGCTGTTTCGTCCTAGCATGGGACTCCTCAGCGGTGCGCATCCCCGGTCTCACATGTGGGACTCGAACTCAGGACCTTCGGTCCCACTCGGGAAGGCATAACCTCAAGATCAGTGAGCCAGTATCCAACGGTGTTAATGTCTAACTTCAATCAACCAACGATATGGCGCGACCGTCCACCATTATCTTCAGTAAGTAAATACTTCACAACAGACACGGTTGAACTCCACTGGTCACGACTTCTCACTAGAACCCCAGGAAATCTTTCTTGAAGCCAGTTATTACTGAGCACGTGGTAATTATCAGTATAGGGTTGTAGAGATTGTTTTATATATGTAAGACACCATCATTATCCTGAAATTATAGCAAAAAAAATTAAATCTCTCACTGGTTGTATTAGTATATCTATTTATTTGTTTTTTAGTAATTTAATGGTTGAATTCATAAGTCAATTAAAGCAAGACCATCATGAAAAACCTAGTGTTGGACTCCTCAGAAGTGCACATTTACTATCCCGCCAGCGGGATTCGAACCCTGAACCTATCGATCCTATCGCGAACGCTTAACCTCTAGATTATCAAATGAAACACGAATGTATATTATTGTGTAACTTTAGAACGTGTATATTGTAGTCTACAAACATTTAACATCACAATTAATGCATCAAAATTTCAGAATCTTAAAACTGGAAAAAGACAGTTGTCATATTTATTATTGATACACTTGAAATAAGTATGAAAGCAACTTCTTCGATGAACATTCAACGAATTTTTCACGTTGTACGAATATGATTTAGTAAAGAGCTTTGGCATTTCTTGAACACATTTAAGGGTTGAATATAGCTTCTGTCATCGAATGATAGTTTGAGTGTTACAGGAGATTAAAAATCAGGAAACAGGCGCTTCATTCTAAGCAGAGATTATACATTATTTAAATTATCTCGATGCAGATATACACTATCGTTCAGTTGGTGGATTGAAATTCAAATACAAAAGCATTCATGGTATGTCCAGACCATCATCTTTGAGATGTGAAATCTACTTCAGAAGTAAGATGGTTATTCTCTGATTGCATCAGATAATTGTTGCAGTATACTGTTCATGAGTAAGGTTACAGGACGAGTATTTTGTAGTGATTCACTTCTCAAGCAGTAGCATATGGTTAATAGGATGTAAGCGTTTTAAGTTTACAGACAGTAAAAACAGTCAATGAGTTTTGAAGAGGAACTATCTCAATGAGCGTTTTACATTCCTTTTTTAAACTCATCATAAATTTTATTTTATTTAGCTCAGCATAAATTATTACTTACTTACACGTGTTAGCCCTCATGGAGGACCCTATGCCGCCCATAAGGATTCTCCATCGATCTATGCATAAATAATGCTTCCAGAATATTCATAATAAATCCCATATTATTTTCTTTTATAGCCTTCGTTTACTGTTGATATTTGACAAAAGTAAATTAACACAAAAATGAATAGTTGTGTTTGGTACACTTGATTTATCAGAGATATACGAATGACAAGATTACGAAAATTATCACACAAAAACTAAACTGAGTTGAGTAAAGTGATTGAAAAAGGTATATATTTATATTCTACATAATGCAATCTTTCAATCCTCAATGAACCACGTTTTTTTATCAGCTTGAAAAAACACTTCAAGCTATTCAAATATTGGTTATATTACTCATGATTAACGACAATCTGTGAGTTGTAAAACCAGTTTCATTAATTTTAGGCGCAATCCTAGTAATCCATTTTTTGCTTCAGACACTAATCTTCTGTTTGACTAGAGCTTATATTTTGAAAAATGGAGGATACATTAAAGCATCTTAAATGATGCTGTCACATTGCTCTATGGAAGGAAGAAAACCTATTAATTTATTTTTAGTCTAACTAGTAGCAAAAAATGTCTCCGAAATCTGATTGCTACAATAAGCTGTTTTCTTGTTTAACAACTTCAAAGTCTACGTGTATGTTTGTGTAAAAAAGGGGAAGGGTATATGGGTATCACTTTTAACGCGATGATTTTTAAAAGTTGCTTAACCAGTGGAAAATTTCTCTCATATGTTTTATATGAATTAAGACTTTATTTTGAAAACCTTTAGACAAACAACCTGACAAATGATTTATATGACTGCTTTTTGTTCAACTGTCATTAATTTTCTTTTTCTACCTAAATTCACTGTCCAACTGAAAAATTTAATACTGAAAGGAGGAAAACAAACAAACGGATAAATATATTTTAATAAGGGAACGATCTAAAATGTAAGATAAGATGGAGAAATTGGATGTTATATATTTGCAGCACCCGATTTTCGCCAATAATAACTTCCATAGATACTTCATCGTAACATCAGATGGTCATACTGGCAACCAAGTCAACTACTTTCTGAACGCCAAAATTAATTTTAAAGTCTAATTATCGTTACATACGGTAAAAGTTTTATTCTGATTATACATGAATGACGATCATTGTTAAAATAAGACTGATCATAGGCGAAGTGAGGCTCTGTCAACTTAAGGGATTTTAGTCAAATGCTTTAATAGCTAACCCATAAACCTCGGCTGCCACTTCTAATAGATGTCAAGTACAAAATATCAGCTTATGATGTTAGTATTCTCCATTAGATTATGATCAAATGTGTACGGAGTCTAAAACATTTATTCGTACTTAATAATAATAATAATTATATATATATATATATATATATATATATATATATATATATATATATATATATATATAGTGGATTAATCATCTATCTTTTAACTGTTTTTCACTTTATGTAAAACAATTCAGGTCTTCGGCCATTTATATGCCGTATATGTTCCAAAGCTTTCAAGCATAAACACCATCTAACAGAACATAAACGTTTGCATACTGGTGAAAAACCATTTGAATGTCAAAAATGTGGTAAACGTTTTAGTCATTCCGGATCATATTCTCAACATATCAATCATCGTTATAAATATTGTCAATCATAAATCATGTTCAACGTGCCTATTGTTTTAATCGTTAACCTGGTTATTTTTTAACTTTTCTTTTTCTATGACAATCTAAAGAATGTACAAGTTGTGATTGATTTATTTGTCTTGGCTTCTTTAATTTAATGCTTTGGTTTTAGTTTAGCATTGATATGTCGTTCATTTCCCAAATAATTTTCAAAACATAATTCGAAAAATTTTGAACTAAAAAATTAACTTCATTTCATGACATAGAACCTTCGTCCCAATTACTGACTGAATGATGTAATTTCAAGAGGTTTGATTTTAACTGACTCCCGTTTGTGTTATTCTTCCTTTCTACGTATTTAAATATTAAGTATGAAGAGATGAAAAAGCCTTCATTCGTCCTTTATTCCTCTTTTGATTATTACATATTTCGCAAACTTATGAAAACTGTGGGCTGGAAAATAGAAAACAGAAGTATTCTTTAAAATTTTTTGTAATTTACTTCTTATTCAACTTATCACTCCTCTAATTCTTCCCCTCCAAATTTATGATATGTTTTGTCTTTTTTTTCAGTAACCTTCAATATTGGATAGAACATTAGAACAGAACAATACAGATGTGATAATGCTCAATTACATAAATATTTTTTGTACAGTTATTACCTACTAAACTCACACTCTTTATATTACGGTCTAATCAATGCATTCACCTTTTTCCCCTTAGACTTCTACCACCAAATACATTGTCAACAATTTGTACCAATTTAATATCGGTTCCTAGTTAAATGTGTTCGAATAAATGAGTGCATTCTTTGTGACAAAAACTTACTAGGAACAGAACAGAAATGGGCAAAAGATAAATGTCTGAAACAGAATTATTTCCGTACATTTAGGTTTCTCTCATTTCAATGAACAAAGAAGAAAAAGAATATATGATTAGTGTATAGTTTTCATTTATTTTTTCCGGGTTTGGAGAAAAAAGCAACTGCTAATCAAATGACTTTGTATCTTTGAATGTAATTCAGACTTCTTCGAAATTCTAATATAAACTACACTACTAATATGTGACTTTAATGTTGAATTGTATGAATTATTTAGTGACATGGTCAAGTGAAAAGTATAATTATATTAATATTAGATTTCAAGGAACAAAATAACCGGTATTGTAATTCTCCCGATTCATCTATGAAAGTCTCTGACTACACACATTATGATAATTATACAACAATGTAATTATTGAGTTGAATATGAAAGTGACTTAATAGAATGATTATTTAACTTCAAAATCTTCAGATTACATGTGAAATATCTATGATGAATGAAATAAATAATAAAAACAAATGAGATAAGACTTGTTTTCACGATTTTATTATTCAACAAACTATGTAAATAGTCTTCTGTACAAGGTGAATTGGTGAACATAATAAAGTTTTCCAGAGTTATCTAACCATTTTTACACCAAAGATTGGTCTCAGTTGAACAAACATTGAAAATCGGAGAGCATTGAACAGCTTTTTCGCAATAATATGAGAATCCTTTACAGTGAGCAACCATAATCTCACAAGGGATCGAAATCTGGATCTTCAGGCATCACGATAAAACTTTAATCTTCAAACCACTGAGTCAACATCCACACAGAAATTACTGGATATAATTAATCTAAATTTTACGGGCTCTCCACGAAACATAAAGGTCCTGGTTTCGATTTCAGGTGAGGTAAAAGATGCTATCTGGTGAGAATACTCTTTCCTGGATGAAACGGCCGCCCAGTATTCTTCGATTTTCAGTGGCTGCCTGATTAAAATTAATCAAATTACAAAAACTTAGTGAAACTGGGAAAGTTCCCTAGGTACCACTTTTCGTGAATTATTTACTTACCTAAGCTTGTCACTTCTTTTGAGGCACAGATCGCTTACTAGTGATTTCTGACCGGTTTTATCCTGATTCTCTATTCGAGCTGTTATCAAGTTCTATTTGTTGTCTTGATATCTGCCACAGACTCCCGAACCAACGCATTAATTGTCAACAAATGATGCACTATGTAGAATTCGCCGCAAAAACATTCGTAACACATGTCCAATCCACTGAAGTTGGTGTTCCAAGATGGTTACAATGACTGAATTATTATCATTGTGTCCGAACCTCTGCATCACTAGCATGGCATTGCCATGTATATCATTGATACTTTTCAGGTAAGGAAAGGCTTCCAACACTACCAGAACCTCACCGTCAAGTGTGATTGGGTAGATGCTCATTGTGTCGCACTTCTAGATCTTGCTGTTTCCCTTGTGAACTTGGGATTCACTTATGTGGAGGCCCCTTCCACTCCAAATATCGACGCCTGAACTGGTTTCCGCATATACAGTAGGAGGTTCAATTCATCTGTAAACTATAAGTAGTCCAGTTGAGTTCAAATTGTCCACTATATTCCCTGTCTCTCTCGAGATATCGAACTCTTCATCATCCAATCAGCAACCAGAACGATGTGGATAGGAGAGAGCAGACAAGGCTGTCTCACACCATCCCTCACCTGAAACACGCTTGTGAGCTGTGCTCCATCCAAATCTTTACAATCCAGTCCGACTTCAGAGTTCCGTACGATGGTGACGATCTTCACAGACACTCCGTAATGTCTAAGAGGATTCCACAAGGCTTTTTGGTTCACTCAGTTGAATGTTTCCTAATTATCAAGAAAGTTGACGCACAGGAATGAGTTCCATCCAACTGGTTGTTTAACCATGATCCTCAGTGTCACGATTTAGTTAGTAGACGACTGATTATTGAGAAAGCCATCTTGCTGATCTTAAAGCTGTGCATTTGCTGAACGTTCATTTCAATTATTATTACCATATTGCTTCCAAATTCTGAATTCTAAGTAAATCATTGATGTTGTTGAGTCTTTTATTAACTGTCATATTTTTATCTCGCTTAACATACTTTTATAACAGTCGCTATTTGAACTGATATACTTTGGTTGATCACTTTGTGAAGTGATTGCTTCTGTTCTATGTGGTTGATATCAGGTAGGTTCAGTAGTTCTGGTTTATTCAAAACTTCATCAAAGTACTCTATCCGCCTGTCCGCTACTCCCGAACCTCAGTGACTGGTTTAAATTTTTTGATCTTGAATGATCGCTCTTATCTACCATATAATCCTACACGCTTATTCGTTGTATCATATAATTCTCTCACATTTTCTTCTTTTGCAACATTTCCGATGTCGCTACATATTTTCGCCTTCTTGTTCTGCTGTTTTTATTCATTCATTCGCTTGATTGCTTGCTTGCTTATGTTTGTGCGTCTTATTGACCAGCACTTCCTAGCACTGAATTTATTACTGCTTTGATCCTGTTCTAGTTGCTGTTTATAGTAGTGTTTTCTTCATGTAGTAGATCATGTTGAACTTGAATCTAGTTGCTGAGAACTATCTCAGATTTGCTGAGTTCTTAGCATCCCAATGGAAGGCCGTATTAAAACTATACTACTGTCGATTCAAATATTTAACACTTCTATATTTTCAATTTTGGATTGACCACAACCATGTGTTGGTCTGAAATTACATCACCTCCTCTCTTTCTTTTTACGTCTTCGATAATCCTTTTGAATATTTTACTTGTCCACATGCAATCGATAGAATTAACTGCCATGTGTTTTAGTGAAACCTATGTAGCTTTGTGTGTGCATTTGTGGAGAAAATAGTGATACACATAAACATATTGTTGAAAGTACATGGATCTACCGGCCTATTGTCATTCTCGTCCATTTCTCCAGTCTTTGTCACCCTGTGACGTACTTATACATAGTGCTGTTCATCCAAATGTTAGTGTTATGACTAACGGTCGACTGTTATGACTGCATCACAAATTGTTATATCTGGCCGTCTCTGACTGTTATGTCGGAATCGTTTATCGCGTATAATTGTAGAGCGAGGAACCACTGCAATTCTCACAACGCGAAAGTAAGAACAAAAAGACTGATACAAGTAAAGATTTATGAACCCCGAAACAAGACGACGATGCTAGTCGAAAATCAACTCATTTATATATTGATTCGTACGCCAATTTTGATTAATAATGAGGATAGAATCACATATATGAAAAATACTTACAGTTAAAACAAATCATATGCTGAGTATACTTCATGTCAACTTTTAATACAAGAATACCGTATGTTATACAGAATAAAATGTTATACGGGGAAAAAAGATACTACATTGAATTAAAAAGAAAGTAATGTTAGATAAAAATCATAATGAGTAAAAGAATGTACTTTTGACTTTTCATTCCATCATATTTGTTAGTTTTCGGGCCATCTACCAGAATGACAAGGATTAACTACAGTCTCCCATAAAACTAGTTTCTATCACTTACGCCTCCATCGGTAATAGGTATATATCAATGAATTACACTCATTTCAGTCCTTACCTTCTTTACTCTGAAGGATAATTCAATGATCCTAAAGTCATGAGTTTCCCATCCGCAAAGTGCTATTGGTGGTTCAGTGCAACTCCATATGTGTGTGAGCATATTCCTCTTCATAAACAGAATACAAAAGCATCTCTCCAGAAACTAACATTTTCTGTTCAGTTTGAGCCCGACAGGTTTTGGTCATTCCAAACACAGTCACCTTGTATCTTCTCATTTTCCATGTTGTTCAGATGACCATCTCAGTCTCCCGAGTTGTTGGGAAATTCCACATACTCACGCTTATTGTTGTCCTAATCGTCAGAAGATGCATCGTGTTCGTGGATTCTGAAGTATCTCGGCTCCTATAATGAGGCATCATAACCTTTCCGTAGGGACAACATTCGCATCCTAATTCAGTTTTCAAAGGCTCTAAATGATTCATTCTGGTTATTGTTTGTTTAGCAAGGTTCTTCTCTATGAGGTGGCGTTGTTAATTGCACATCCAACCCTCCTGTTTTGAGAGAGTTTGGCATTGACAGAGATCAGACAGGGACTCCGGATGGAGTTCGCTGTTTTTCGAACAATATATACATTCGATAGACTACTGAGTTCACAGTCCGTGAATGAAG